AGAGTGTGTGGCCAGCTCAGCCCACCAGGGGGCAGGACACCAAGCCCTTTTTTGCCCCTTTGTATCTCCTGTCTTTTTAATACCCTTTCAGTCATTTTAAACATTTGTATACATTCAAAAACAATGTATTAAGTGCCTACTATGTGCTAGGTACTGTTCTAAGTGAAATTTGCTTGGGTTATAATCTGAATAAAGGTGCCTGACCTTGTAGAACCTGCATTCTAGCAAAGAGAGTTGGGGCTGGGGATACAGCTCAGTGGTGAGTGCTTGCCTAATAAGGAGAGCTCATAATAACATAAACTATACTGAATATTAGAAGTGAAAAGTGCTGTGGAAAAAAAAGCAAAAAGGAGTGTTTAGGAAACCATATTTTTTGGTACTGCTGGGGATCAAACTCAAGGCCTTACTTAGCCCTTGTAGGCAAATGCTCTACCACTGGACTGTCTGTCTGTCTGTCTGTCTGTCTGTCTTTCTTTCTTTCTTTCTTTCTTTCTTTCTTTCTTTCTTTCTTTCTTTCTTTCTTTTTTTCCCCCCTGTATTTTAGGGAAGAGTCTACAGGGTGTTCAAGATCTCACTACTAGATTGGATTAGCAGTGATCTGCCTGTTTACAGGCTCCCAAGAGCTGGGATTACAGGTGTGCGCCACCACACCCCAAGTCTCAATTGCTGTCTCAGCATGCCTGGGGATGGGGCTGGCAAGGCAGGCCTGGGGATCGAACCCCAGCCCCCGCGCTTGCTTGCAGGCACTTTTTTTTTTGTTTCTGAAGTGACTTCCATTTATTTTGATACATCTTTTCCCCATGATGATTTACAGGATCTTCAAGCCAATATTATTTACTTTATAAATAATTTATTATTTACTTTATAAATATTTGAATTTTTGGGTATACACCTGCACAATACCTCAGCAATATCTTTCAGCAAGAAAATACTGAAGAGTAAAGGCTAGACACAATTACTGGGTACAGTGAAAATCTGCTGCAAATATTTCTGAGCTAAGAAGGCACCACATAACTGTTCAACTAAGAAAACCACCCTTACAACACAGGATGATTTTATTTTTACATAGGACCTAGAACACTTAAGCTGCCAATTAAGTACTGAATGGCAGAGCAATGTCCCCAGTTTATGCCATAAATTCATAGGGAATGGGTTCCATCAACTCAGGTTCCTTTCCATTGGTCCTCACAAAGTGTGCGTCTCTGGGATGGGCATGCTGGCACTTCAATTGAACCCAGGTACCTTTCTCTTTGGCTTCCTTCTTTTTCTGATCATTTTCCCTGACACGTTTCAGGAAGCTATCACGACTTTTTGAATATTTAACATGCTTAATATGCACATTAATCCTCTTGGCAAGTATCTTGCCCTTAACTTGCTTGTTTCCAACAATGCCAACAGCATGCTGGGTAACGTTGTGGACTCTTCCCGTTTTGCCATGGTAACATTTGTGAGGCATTCCTTTTTGCACGCTACCCATTCCCTTGATGTCTACAATATCACCCTTTTTGTAGATTTGCATGTATATAGCCAGAGGAACAACCCCATGTTTTCTAAAAGGCCTGGCAAACATATACCAGGTTCCCCTCCTCTTGCCCTTTGTGTTAGTCATTGTGGCAAATTACTGGAAGATGGCAGTTCCGGCTGAAAGGCGCTTGCAGGCACTTTAATCTGCTGAGCTATTTGGCTGGCCCTGGGCTGTATTTCTTGTGCCAGCCCTGTGATTTCTCTTTTTTCAGGCAAAGTCTCACTGTGTAGTTCAAGCTGGCCTCAAACTCCTGATCCTCCTCCTACCTGTCAGCCTCTTGAGCACTTGGATCATAGGCATGTGCCATCATACATGGTAAGCCCTGTGACTCATTGATTGATTTGATCTACCTTTCTCTCTCTCCCTCCCTCCCTCCCTCTCTCTCGCTCTTTGAACTGAGGACCTAGCACTTGTCAGGCAGTTTTTTTTTAAAGAAAGGGATTCATTAATTTTATTTTTCTTTACTTTTTTTTTGGTGGAACCGGGGATTGAACTCAGGCCCTTGCACCTGCCAGGCAGGCAGGTATTAATTATGCCATTGAGCTATATACCCAGACCCAGCCCTATGATTTCTGATAGCAAATAAACTCACAAAAAATTCTAGTTTCCTAATGCATAAAACAGGAAAGATGAAGCATGACTTTAATAATACTGAAATATATTAGTTAAGAAGAATAAAGGCAATTTAAAGCATTAAAAAATACATTAAATGCAGAGTTGCTCATTATAGTTAATAACTGCTGGAAAAATCTGAAAGTACCCCGGTTCCACCAAAAAAAAAATCTGAAAGTACCTGCATTGTATAGATCATAATTTGTTCAAAGACTATTAAAAGAATTTCATGCTGTCAGCAAAATGATAAAGACAAAGACTAAGCAGTAAAATAGAAAATCCAGGAAAAAAATGTGAAACATTTACTAAGAAAAAGTATGTTGTACTTACTTTGCAAGGGAAGTTGCCAAATAGAATAAACTATATTAAGCTGGGGAGATGGCTCACTTGCCTGGCAAGTGCAAGGGCCTGAGTTCAATCCCCGGTTCCACAAAAAAAAAAAAAAAAGAATAAACTATATTAAATATTAGGTGACACACACACTAAATAAGTGTTCTATTGAGCCACATTCCTAGCCCACATTTTCTTTTCTATTTTTAATTTTTTATGTATCTGGTAGAGGGCCTCACTATGCAGCTTGTACTCATGATGAGCCGCCTGTTTTCAGCCTCCCCAGCGCTAGGATTACAGGTGTGCGTAATCACCACACCTGGACTCAGTGGCTGGTTCACCATGACCGGGGGCATGGCTGGCATTGGCTGTGGTGCCAGGGATTGAACCCTGGCCTGTGCTTGCTGAGCTATCTCGCTGGCCCCTTTATTTATTTAATTTTTTGGACAGAGTTTCACTATGTAGTGCTGGCTGGCCTCAAACTCATGGCAATCCTCCTGAGTGCTGGGATTACAGGCATGTGCCACCATGCCTGGCCTCAAATTTTCTTTTAAACTTTACTTTAATGGGTATATGTCTGTGTCCTATCCAATTTACTTGCTACTATGCTTTCATCTCCCTCCCTTCAAACCTGGCATGTCAGAGTTGTCAGGCAGCTTTGATACTACATTTGATGTTTGATATTGCATTTCTGAGCTCCAGGTTTCTGCTGTTCTTATGCCTAGGAAGAGCTGATGGAAGGCTTAATTCTATGGCAAAGCATCCCAGGACCCTGTAAGCTGGGAGAAAGAGGTGAGATACTGACCTGCTTTCAGGCTCCAGTTTGCAGCAGATAGCGGCGAGGGGAAAGAAGGCTGGGGGACAGTCTGTGGGGACAAATTTCTCCCAGAAGAGCTTCACGTTGAGGCCAAAATCCAGTGTGCGGGGCAGGCAATCAGGATCTGCATACACTTGTCCAATGATCTGTAGGTGAGAAGAGGCTGGTTAGGAAGGCCAACAGAGGCCACAGGCACATGACAGGAAATGGATGCTAGTGTGTGGACAGGAGGATGTTGTTATAGTCTACATCTAAAATGGTCTCTTAAAAGTCTCATGTTTGGAGGTGCGATCTGGATGGAGGAGGTAGGTCACTGGGCACATGACTTGGAAGGGTGTATTCTCGTCTTTGGCTCCTCTCTTTTTTCTCTGCTTCTTGGATGCCATGATATGAGTAGCCTTCCTCCACCAGGCCCTTCCACAGTGCTGTTTTTGCCTTGGAGCCTGCTACTGACCATGGACTGAGTCCACTCAAACCATGAGCCAAAATAAAAACTTCCTCCTTTAAATTGCAGGTATTAGATGTTCTGTTTCACAGATAGAAAAGCTGTCTAATACAGATTTGCAGAAGAGGGAGTGGTAAAAACCTAGAAGAGATAGATAGCTGTCCTCCTCCCTGTATTTCCCAATCTTGCTAACCCTCTTGGCTGAGAGTTTGGTTCATGAGGAGGGTTTATTTTATTTTATATATTTATTCTTTGTATTTTAGTACAGGGTCTACAGGGTTTCACTACGTAGATCAGACTTGTAGTGATCTGCCTGTATTCAGTCTCAAGAGCTGGGATTACAGGTGCGTGCCACCATGCCCAGTCTCAATGCTGGCATGCTCCGGGGTGGGGCTGGCATGGCACAGCACACCAGGAATCGAACCCCAGCTGCTGAGTCTGCCTAAGCAGGTGCTTTAATCTGCTGAGCTATTTGGCTGTGAGGAGGGTTTAGAAGATGCTTCATGGTGGACATAAAGGGGACATAAAAAGAACTAATAGGGCCAGGGAGATAGCTCAGTGGCTTATGCACCTGCCTGGCAAGTGCAAGGTCCTAGGTTTGATCCCCAGCACACACACACACACACACACACAAAATATGTGTTGCACATATGTACTCTCTACTATATATGTAATTATATACTGCAAACATATACTAATAAAAATAAAAATTAAGAAAAGAAAAAAAAAGGAATTCTCCTCATTTCAGCAAAGCAGCATGTTTCAAATGATACTTGTAGGCTGAAAGCTTCCACTCATACGGGCCTTCCTTGCCTGTGGTGATATCATCCATCAGAGATGAGACTGAGCAGCAAGGATTTGGGTTTGATTCACGTATGAAATTTGGCACCCACTTAGTGCTCTGTATATGTGAGCTGCTCAATTCATATCTATTAAAGGAAACAATTTTTAAAAACTTTTGTCATTATTTTAATCATCCCTTATCTCTCTTCTCTCCCACTTACAACTTTTTTTAATGTATTTGGTATGGGATCTACAAGGTCAATAGGGTCTCACTATGTAGATTGGACTCCTAGTGATTCTCCTGTTTTCAGCCTCCCAAGTGCAAGGATTACAGGCGCGTGCCACCACGCCGTCTCAGTCACTGTCTCAGTGCACCCTGGCGGTGGGGCCGGCACAGCAGGGACTCTACCCTGGCTGCTGCGCCTAAATCTGGCCAGCCCCCACTTACGATTTTGTGTTGGGGAGTTACAGAAGCATTTGAATGTATGTGTTCAGCTTTGCGACACACTGAGCAATGCTGCTATCCGACTGCTAAGCTACTAAAGCTAGGCATCTTTCTTTACTTCACCTGTACCTCAGGGTACCTAGCATGAGGCTAGAACTTCCTAGAATTGTTATTCTACTTGCTAGATATAGGCCAGGGGGATTACTGGGGCCTGTGGAAGGCAAATGGGTAACTGGGAACAGCTAATGTATTCTAAGAGCTAAATGGATAGTACTATGTCTTTCTTGCTGAAATTCTGAATCTCGCCTGCTTCTTACTGACCATGTAACTAAGAGCTTGCCACTGTTCCTTTCTGAAAACAAAACAAAAAAACTTGTTCTGTTGTTTTTATGGAACCAGTGAAACTTAAATGGCAAGACACTACACCTGTGTTAATTTTGTTTTTCTTTTCAGTACCAGGAATGGAACTCAGGACCCTGCACTTGCCAGGACGGTGCTTGTGACACTGAGCTGTATCCCCTGGCCTCTACCCGTGTTAATTTTATGGCAAGTTATTCTTTCCTAGGAGGAGCCCCAGATCTGATGCAGGGCCATGCTGGTAGGACTGCTGTCTCAGGAATAGCCTTGGTGCTAGAGCTCACCTCACAGAGGACGATCCCAAAAGAGAAGACATCCACCGTCTCATCGTAGCTCTTGCCTTAGGGAACAGAGGAGAGCAGGCTGTTAAATTTACATGCCTTATGTGCTCTGCACTAGGCTAAGGTGAAGCCAAGCCATAGCCAAGAACTGGGGCTACAGCAGGCTCTACAGGGAGGTCCCAAACACTGATCAGAACAACTCCACTTGAAAATCTCCTCAATCCAGTTGTGGGGCACATGCCTATAATCCCAACATTCAGGAGGCTGAAGCAGGAGGATTGCTATGAGTCTGAGGCCAGCCTGGGCTACATAGTGAGTTCAAGGCTGGCCTACCTCAGAGGAACTGGATGCAAGTGCATGGTACAGTAGAAAATAAATGCTCATTTAGGTTCATCCAGGCTTTGTCACTAGCCAGCTGCCTGTTTTTGAGTAAGCCAATGAATTTCCCTGGGCCTTACACTGAAAAGCATCGTATCATACTGCTTCCTCATTTTTTTTTTTTTTTTGTCTTTTTGAGACAGGGTCTCACTATGCAGTTGAGGCTGGCTTTGAGCTCACTCTGTAGCCCAGGATGGCTTTGAACTCATTGTGATCCTCCTGCCTCAGCCTCCAGAGTGCTGGGACTACAGGTGTGCACTACCACACCCAGCTCACACCACTTCTAAGGCTTCACAACGCTGCCTTTCAAGAAGGCCAGCCAGCATAACTAGCTGGTTTGAGTGTTACCCACTAGGGGGCAGCACAACTCAGTTCTCAGCCTAGCGATGGAAAAAGCACAATGGTGACAAACTTACGGGTGTGGGTGCCACAGTGGATTGTTTGTTATGGGTGAAAGCTCTAATAGATTCCCCGTCACTGAAGGGTGATGAATAATGTGAGTTCTCACTTACCCTCTTGGCAAAAAAACCAGTCAGACCTCATCTTATGCCCATACGGATCACTACTCAATACTTTCTGGTAATTTTGCGGTACTGGAGCTTGAACTTGGGACCTTGTGCTTGCCAGACAGGCACTTATGCTGTTGAGCTATATCCCAGGATCCCAATCACTACCCAATAGTAAACTCAGGGAAGATGGAGTTTATGAGGACCAGCCTAGCGAGGGTTAAAAGTTATCTAGCCGGGCATAGTGGGGCACACCTGTAATCCCAGGCTTTAGGAGGCTGAGGAAGGAGGGCTGCTGTGAGTTTGAGGCCAGTCTTGGCTACGCAGCTAGTTCAAGGCTAGCCCACATAGTGACCTTGTGCTCCATAAGCTTCCCCAGGAGCTTCCAGGGCTTGGCTACAAGATGTAGCTTTGGTCTTCCCTCTGGGGCATCCCCTCCAGGGCTCCCAGACTCACCATTCAGCATTTCAGGAGCCATCCAGTAAGGGTTTCCCACTACCGTATACCTCTTCTTGCGGTCACTCTTGCGCAAGGTGCGTTTCTTAGTGGTGGCCTTCTCCACTGGGGGCCTTTTCCTCTCTTCCACTATGAGCCGTGATAACCCAAAGTCTGCCACCACCACAGTCTTGTCCTGGTAAGATAAGGGCCCAGTCAGGACCAGGTAAAGACTTCTCAAACCTGGTTCTCTAACCCTAAGGGTATGAGTATAGGTATAGAAGCCACCAAGAACGAGAACGAAGTACACAGCAGAGTCACAGCAGAATGCTCTGCCAGCTTTCTAACCAGACATGGCTGGCCTCTGTGCTTTGGGGTTTACAACAGAACTGGAGAGTCCTGGCATGGTAGGCCTCTGGAACCCAGAGGGTGGGACTCAAAGGCAGACAAGATTTTTGTTTTTGTTTTTTTTGGCTTTCCCCTGCTCTGTCTGGTCCCTAAAAAAGATGTTAAGTTGTTGCTAGGATCAAGATAAGAGAAAAAGACAAAGTAGATGCAGCAGTGTGGGGAATGAGGGGAGATAAACTCTTGGGATAGCTACAGGGTAGTCATGTGAAAAGGGATTAAGATTGTTTGGTACAAGTCCAGAGGGCAAAACCAGAGCCAGCTGATGGACACCCTAAACCAGGTTGCGAATCACCAAGAGAAACAACATTGTAACTAACCAGCAGTGGGAGGAATGATGGACTCAAACTGCCCACTATAAATTAACGAGCTCTGATGGCCTCAGGATGGACAATTAACTATTTCACAGGACTATTATGGAGTAAAACCAGATAAAGTAACAAGGCTCTATGTACAGTTAAGGAACTTCTGAGGTCTTTTCCATATGAATGCGGAAGGGCTAGTCCCGGGAGATTAAAGTCAGGGATGCTCTACCACTGAATTATACCCCTAGCCCAACTTTTTTTTTTTCTTTTTCTGTGAGAAGGGTTTCTCTGTGCAGTTCAAACTGACCTTGAACTCAGTATGTGGGCTCACCCTCTGGAGTGCTATGTTTACAGATATCATCACACCTGGCTACCCCCAGTACTTTTAAAATTTTGAGACAGGGTATTATTAAATTGCCCAGGCAGGATTCAGATTTGCTGTCCTTCTACATCAGCTTTCCTGAACTCTAGGATTATAGGTGTGCAGTGGTGCTGTATTCTGACCCCAGGGCCTAATGGCAAGCAAGTGTTCTACCACTGGGCTATATCCTTAGCCCCAAAATCTCTTCTAATCAAATGATTTCAAAACTACTGCTGACAGGAGGTGAAGCTGTATCTGCATGTGTCTGGGAGCTTTCAGAAGACGGGGCAAGTCACTGGAGGCAGCAAGAAGGGACAGAGAGGAGCCCCGAGGCAACATCTCTGGCCTGAAGCCACAGGGAACAGTCAGCTTCCTCTAGGACAAGGAAACCAGGAGGTCCAGTGGCGCCATGTGGGCCCCGGAGCAGTGAGACATACCAACTTGATGAGGCAGTTGTGTGAGTTCAGATCCCGGTGGATGATGCACATGGAGTGCAAATAGGCCTGGAACAGAAACGTGACACAAAGGCTCAGTAAGTCAACCAGACTTTGATTCCAGAATTGAGGTACTGGAATCTGCTCCTCTCCCAGGCTGCTGCTGCCCACATTTAGAACCCAATGTGGACAATATAGTTGGGCACTCCTCTGTAGCCAGTATTTTGTCCCAACACCAGAAGAAAGTCAAAGGCAACCTGGGCTCCACTCCTGCCCTGTTTTCATTTCCTGCCTGTCCTTTTGTTCACCAATCGCCAGATCAAACCGGCTTAAACCCTGTTCTCTTCTCAAGACACCAGGGGCTTGTGCATTAGCTCGGCTGTTTAAAGTACCTGCTTGGGCAAACTCAGGCACAGGGGACCGTGGTTCGATCCCCAGCTCCACAAGCCAGACCCACCCTAAAGGTAGCCTGAGCTAGGAAAAAAAAAAAAAAAAAAAAAAAATCTTCTAAAGGCTCCAAATGCAACAGATCCAGGTTTGTGCACCCCACCCCCTATTTCACTTAGATCAAAAACCGTCTGAAGTGAATGCCTTCAGATACGCTGCTCCTCCTCTCCCTCCCCAAACTATAAGCTAGCTACCTTGGATCTTTCCCCTCAGTGGGGCAAAAATGACCTCCTGCCTGGTCCAACTTGCTCTGGTTCCTCACACTTCCCTGAAGACTCCATCCTCCTCATTCTCTCTATACTTTAAGGCTGTCCACTTCTCCCCCATGCTTCCTGCCCATGTCTGTTTTTTCTTTCCAGTCTCCTCAGAGTCAGCTCTTCTCAAAGTCATCTTTTCACAAGTTAACTTCTACCAATCACATGCACGCCTCTTGTGTCCACAGCCCTGGCTTCCCTTTCCTGGTACATAGCTAGGTGACCAGAAGCCCATACCCAAGCTCCTGCTTCTAGCCAGTTTCCTGCCCAAGAGATGATGGAAGGTTCTGCTAACAGATTAGTCTCGGCATGCACTAATCCCAGCTCTTCTCAGACCTGTTTCCTGACCACCACTAGTAAATGGCACCACCGTTCTGAGTTCCTTAAGCTACCATGTCCCTTCCTATAACTCTTGTTCCCTCTCAATTCTGACTCCATCCTCTTCCCAGTCTTCTATCCCTACTACTACCTCAATTTAGAAATTGAAATGTTTCATTGATCCCTCTACCCAGTTCTCCCTGGAGACTCTCCTATCTCCATTCCAACCTACTGGCCACCCCAGACTCACCTCGAAAGAAACACAGCTCCTGGCCATTAAAAAAAAAAAAAAAAAAAAATTCTTGCAAGGATGAACAACAATTCAATATGTGTGTGTTTAGATAATACTTAAATATTAAGCTGAAGTTTGAAATGTATTGATGAGGGCTTGGGAGATAGTTCAGTAGAATAAGTGCCTGCCTGGCAAGCACAGGGTCCTGAGTTCAATCCTCAGTACCACAAAAACAAAAACAAAGAAATGTATTGATGAGGCTTTTCTATACATTATATTTACAACTCTGATTTTACCTTTCCAAGTACAGTTTCCTTAAGACTCAGAAAAGGCCATTAAAGGGGCTTGCAGGTTAGCTCAGTTGTTTAAAGTGCCTGCTTGGGCAAACTCAGTCAGGCACAGGGGACCAGGGTTCGATCCCCAGCTCCACAAACCACACCAGACCTGCCCTTAAGGCAGCCTGAACTAGCAAAAAAAAAAAAGGGCTATTAAAAAGAAAAATCTAAAAAATGGGCTAGCAAGATAGCTTAACAGACTAAGTATTTAATTAGACAAATGTAGGGACTGGGGTTCGATCCCCGGCACCACATGCCACAGGTCCCATCCTCCTGGGGTTTCTGAGCAGGCCAATGAGACTGGGCATGGTGGTACATGCCTGTAATCCCAGTGCTGGGGAGGCTGACAGGAGAATCACTACGAGCCCGAGCTGCATAGTGAGACCCTGTACCAAATACATTTAAAGAAAGTAAAATGTGTGACAGTCTCTGGGGCTGCCTTCTCATGCCAGCTGTTCCCTGGAACAGCAAAGAATGTAAGTGAAGAAGCAGCCAGCCCCCTCCACCCTTCTCCATCCAGCTGCAACATCAACCTTCAGATACAGAACATATCTACAGTAAAATTAAAGTATTTAAGTAAAGTGCAATTTGCTTCTCCAGTGGTAGGGGAAATTCTGTTCAATATTTTGAAATTTATGAATGTTGTAAAACTAGCAAACTGTGGTCTTAAAATACATAAACTGAAGACTTTACCATGGGGATATAAAATCTGAGAGTAAATCCAGTGAATTACTTCCTAAATCCCAAGAGTCTATACTCTGTACCATGATGTCTTGCTGTTACATGAGTATTTTCAGGCCATCTGGACAAGGAGTCTTATAGAAACCCAGAAAGAATTTAAAAAAAAAAAACAACTAAATTATTCAAGGGTTTCAAACCTTAATGTTACATGCAAGGTTTGTGTAGAATACAAAGCACTCTGTTTCTTTGACTTCTAAGAGCTTGACAGTAGAAGCCACTACCAAATTGTGCTCCTGCAGCATTTCTGAGTAGTGGGACATGGATGACTCAGTCCTTGCTGAGCTTGATCCTTGCTGAACACTGAACAGGACTGATTAAGCTCTATGTCTTGTACTTCTGGCATTCCGATTATTCTAGGGATTGAGGAGATCTGTAACTTGATACCAGGATGATTATCCTGTCCGCCTTGGTTATCTGAGGGATTGTTGGAAGCTGGTCCCTCTCTTCTGGAGGAAGACAGGACTTTCCAGATTCCATCTTCTTGGCCAGGTCTTCCACTGACCTGATATTAGTTGCAGCAACTAAAGAGTCACAGGCAGTTCCTCCCATAGTGCTGTTTTGATCTTGAAAAATATTTTTTTTTTACATTTATTTATTGTGTGTACGTGTGTGTGTGTGTGTGTGTGTGTGGCCAGCTCAGCCCACCAGGGGGTGCGGCTGGCTGGCATGTGGTGCTGGGGGATCGAACCGCGGTCCCTGTGCTTTGCCGAGCTTGTTCCAAGTAGGCGCTTTAGACCACTGAGCCATCTCTCCAGCCCCTTGAAAAATGTTAAGAACAGCTTCCAATCTACTATTTCAGACTATTACTGTTCCATTCTACGTTCCATTCTACATGAATCCCATGTGAGAAGAGGTAGGTAAAATCTTAGGTGTAGGGATCAGACTGACTAGCCAAGATTCTATGTGTGGGGAATCTTTTAGCCTCAGCTTTTTATCTGGAAACAGGGTTGTTGTGAGGAATAAGTATGGCCAAGTGTGTTAATCCCTTACCTCAGTGCCTGGTATACAAAAAGCACTTAGGAGCTGTCAGCTATTTTGATTACTAGGACTAAATTTTCTTCTCCCAGATTTTTACTATGATCACCACTTAGACTCTGAGGCCTCTCTGCCAGCAGGAACTTTTATTTAATTCTGACTCATCTTTCAGGACTCATCTAGAATTCATTTCTTCCCTCTCTGATTTCCTAGGTTGTAAGATGCTTTGCTTGCTCCAAGGCCCTCAGCACCCAGACACCTCAGTGACATCGAGGTCAGACTACCTCACACCTCTTCAGATTGCCCTTAAAGAGTTGGAATCCTTTGGGAATCAGGTGGTGACTAAAAACAGTGGCCCAGGAACAACTTTGATAGCACAGAAAGAAAATATTAAGAGCTGCTGAATGACTCAACCACTTAAGCTGCCCAGGATGGGGTGTCTACCTTCTAGTGCTCCCCTCAATCACACGTTTCCCTTCTCTTGTGTTGGTAGGGCTGTTGGTAAGACTCACCATTCCAGAAGCGATGCCTTTGGCAAACCTGACCTTCTGCTGCCAAGGGAATGGGTCCTGCAGGGTGGAGGAAGGCAGGTCAGAGCCTGTGGTCCAGGCCTCATGGGCCAGCACAGTGAAACCTCCCTGTCTCTACTCATTTCCACCCAGCATGGTCCTTTGGGGACAAGATAAGGCCTCTATGGCCTTTAAAGCTCCAAGACAGGAGGAGCATGGGTGACTTTTTGACAGTCTTCTAAGATTCTTGGTGACTGCAGGATCTGTGCTCACCACACTGCGCAGAAAATCCTTCAGTGTGCCCCCCTCAATGTACTCTGTCAGCAGGTTTAGCTTCTTGTCCTTGTATAGCACACCAATGAATTTGAGCACATTGGGATGGTCCAGGCTGCGCATCACTTTCACCTGGGTTTAGGAGAAGCCAAAGAGGCTGGGAGTTAATGTCACATCAAGTCCTCCATGACTCCTCCCTCCAGGGATTGGCCTGCTAAGTGTTAGCTGCCTCTCTGACCTCCTACCTTGCATGATGTGGCTAGACACTAGGATCAGGGAGAGAACCCTATGACCCAGATGGGATGGCTTCATAGGTCTCACCTCAGGATCCTGCCTTTCTAGGAACTGCTCTGGGAAACAGGAGTGGAAGGGCCCAACAGTAAAACAAAGGTGGGGGAGGCACTTGGACCACAGTGTTCCTTAACTGTAGTTGCTGCATGGAGCAATGTGTGGAGCGTGGTGAAAACCGTACATGCTCATAGAGTATCAGTTCTCTGGAGGCCCATGTCAGGTTCTCTTCAGGATATTCAGTAGACAATTATCACACTGAGTTATACTAAATCGATCTGTTTTCCTGTGTATCACCCTCATTACCTAAGAGTTACTCTGATCCACATCTCATTTGTTTTCATGTCCCTTGTACTTGGCTTGTGCTATCCTTACTAACTGTTCACTGGAGAAATATTTACACCAAAGTAGAGTGCGTATATTCTCTAGTGTTCTTTTCCACTTGGTACTTAAGTATTTGGTACAGGGTCTCACTATGCAGCTCCGACTCATAGCGATCTTCCTGTTTCCGCACCCCCCAGTGCTGGGACTACAGGTGTGTGTTACCATGCCTGGTCTTGGTAGCTGGCTCAGCGAGCCCAAGGCAGGGCCAGCACGGCATATGGTTTGGGGATCTGAACCCTGGTCCTTGTGCTTGCCTAGGAAGGCACTTAGTCCACTGAGCTATCTCGGTGGCTCCACTCAGTATTTAAGACAGTGACTCCAAACTAAGTTTTCTCCCAAAACCACTATTTAAAAGGTTTTCCCTCTTCCAACAGTGACACCAAATTCCCAGACCTTGAATTTTCTTTCATAATTTTGCCCAAGCTGGCCCCAAACTCCTAGGCTAAAAAAACAAAACAGTAGCAACAACAAAAAACTCCTGGGTCCAAGTGATCTTCCTGCCTCAGACCTGCAAGTAACTGGTACTACAAAGTAGCTGGAACTAATATGTGGTAGTAGCCCCAACCCCATTTATTTCTCCTCTACTTACCCTTCCCTTCCTGTTTTTTTCCTCCTTTGTTTTCTCCCTTGCCACCTCTTTTTTTGGCTTTCTGAGTCAAGGTCTCACTATGTAGCCCAGGCTGGCCTCAGACTTACAATCCTCCTGGCTCAGCCTCTGTAGTGCTAGGATTATAGGCACAGACCAACATGCTAGGCTCCTATCCTATTCCCTCACCTCAGTCAGAAAAGTCTTCTGTGTCTCTTCATCACATCGAATTAACTCCTTCATGACCATCACTTTGCCTGTGGCTTTGTGTATCACCTATAGGGAGATTGACTATTAATGGTACAGAGACTGGAGAAAGTTCTAGAACATTGTTAAGGTCTATGGGCTGGGGGTGTAGTTCGTGATAGATGCTTGCCTAGCATGTGCAAGGCTTTGGATTTGATCTCTGGTACCAGGGAGTGGGGAAAAAAGGCACTATGCAATTGGCTATCCCATCTGTTGGAGGCCACACACTGAGCCATATCAGATCAGACTGACAGAGTTCATGTGTAAAGAACACAACATAGAGTAACAGGGGACTCAGAGGGAAATACACCCTCTTCCCTGGGAAGCTGGGCATGCACATAGGAGTCAAGAATCCAGAGAAAGGAAACAGGGAAGGAGGTAGGAGGGCACACTGCCAAGCCAAGCAGGGGCTCCAGTCATCTGGCATAGGAGTGAGTCTCTTGAGTGAACAGAAGTCTGGGGGCAGGAGGGTCAGTGCCACAGACATGCACCAGAGGGCTGGGTGGGTTGGGGATGTGCTCTCCAGCCCCACTGCCCCACAAGCTGAGACACATGGCTTACCTGACCCCCCCTCCCAGCTCTGAGCAGAGGAGGAGAGAAAGAGAGAGAAGTTAGTCTCTGAGACTGTTCACCAGGGTGGCAAGAGCCACTCCTCCTTGTGTTTGTTGTAGCATGCCCAGCACTGGGGCCTGTGGGCACAGTTCTTCCCAACCTGGGTCTCCAGAGCCACAAGCTCACTGTAGCAGTGATGTGGACTTAGGTGGTGGTGCTGGTGGGGGTGGGGCTATACCATCACCCAGAGTCAGGAAGGAAGCCTGGTGTCCTGCAGGGTATGGAGTGTGGCCATGTGACGAGAACTTCCCAACAGAAGAGGGAGGTGAAGGGGAGGGCATAAGAGTACGGCAGCTGCTTCCTGTGCTCACCTTGATGGCCTGTCCAAAGAAGCCCTTCCCCAGGACTTCCCCATGGATCAGGTCACACGGCCGGAAGATCTGCTGTGAGTAGCTGCTAGAACAGCGGAGGGACTCTGAGCGACTGATGTCACGGCTGAGCAGCAGGGGCTCCTTGGGCGAGCTGGGGCCAGGGGACTTGGAGATGCTGTTACTGCGCCTAGGATGAAGAAAGATGAAAGTTGAAGGTAGGCACCTCAGGCAGACCCATTTGTTTCAAGGTTTACAGTAGGATGCTGCAGTTTGGAGGATGAAGCTCTTAAAACATATGTTGCTTTTGGGCTACATATAGCCCAAATAAGTAGTTTATTTAAGCACAGTAAAAAACTTAACTCAAAATGGGAAATCTAGGGGTTAGGGATGTAGTAGATCCACATCCCTAACTTTCATCTGCTAGAAGTCATGAGGTCTGGGTTCAGTGCCCAACACTGAAAACAGAAAAGGAAAAGAAGGGAAAGGAACGGAATAGAATAGGAGATGTACTCTGCATACTTCTCACCTGGAAAAATTAACTAGATTCTGCCAGCCTGTACCATTCAGTGTATGACAGTACTCTAGTGGTCATCTACTATTTTTTCTAACTGCTTTTTTTTTAATGTATTTTAGGGAAGGGTCTACAGGGTGTTCAGGGTCTCACTAGTAGATTAGACTCGTGATCCGCCTGTTTATAGTCTCCCAAGTGCCGGGATTACAGGGATTACAGGCGTGCGCCACCACACCCAGTCTCAATTGCCACCTCAGTGCACCCTGGGGGAGGGGCTGGCATGGCAGACTGGGGGATTGAACCCCCAGCCACCAAGCCTGCTTGCAGGCACTTTAATCTGCTGAGCTATTTGGCTGGCCCTCTTCTAACTGCCTGATTCAAGACACTAACTAAGTTAATGCTACCATCCAAAAAACAAACAGATGGGATTTAAAATAATATTTTGCTAATCTTTGAACCTGTCCATAATTCCTAAATTTTAAACTAACAAGCATGTATAATTTTATAACAATAAAATAAAGTTTACATTTTCAAAAGCATCCAGCTAACTGAGTGTGATGGTATACGCCTGTGATCCTAGCACTTAGGGGGCTGAGGCAGGAGGATCTTTACAAGTTTGAGACCAGCCTGGGTTACAAAGTGAGCTCAAGGCCAGCCTGGGCTGCATAGCAAGACCCTGTCTCAAAAAGGTAAAAATAAACCCCCAAAGCATCTGATAACAGTAACAGATGGTAACTGTTATTTTGACTTACAGAAGAAAGGATAAGGCTAAAGACAACAGAATAGGACTAGAGGTGAACTGCAGCCTTTCAGACTTCTATTTTACTGGGATGCCTGGAGAGTTCTGAAGCTGGGTGGCTCTTGGCTAGTCCTGCCTTACAAGTTTGCCTGCCCTTGCCCTTCTGTACTGCCTTCTGCTGATTGTGCCCACTATAGCACATGGGGTGATCTGTCTTCTCTCTTGCATGGCAGCCCTTCAGGTACCTGACTACTTTCTAGTCATTCTACATCTTTCCTTTTCCAGACCATATACTTATAGCCTTTCTCTCCCTTTGGTTCCCTGTCTCTTCTGGTGCATCCTGGCTGACCAAGGCAGCCAAAAGTGGAGGGAGCAGTCTGTGGGGAGGGTTCAGTTTCCAACAGCTGAGAGAATCCTAACTGATTTAGCTTGCTGGATCAGGGCATAAAGAACATGATTCCTGGGGCCAGGGAGATAGCTCAGTAGAATAAGCACTTGCCTGGCAAGTGCAAGGGCCTGAGTTCAATCACCAGTTCCAAAAAAAAAAAAAAAAAAAGATTCCGATTGGTTGTAATATTATTTCACATTTAGTAAGTACTGACCCTAGCCTGGCACTGCACAATTTTGTGTTTTTTCCAAATTTAATCCTAATATAACTGGCTACTAGCCACTTTTATCTTGTAATCCCAGGGGCCTGCCCATTAGCTCAGTTGCTTAAGGGCCTGCTTAAGCAAAGCAGTCAGGCTCAGGATACTGTAGTTGATCCCCGGATCCTCATGCCTTTTCAGACCTGCTCTTAAGGCATCCTGAGCCAGTAAAAAAAAAAAAAAAAATCCTTATTTTGTAACCCCATTTCACAGATGCAGAAACAGAGGTTCAGAGAAATGATGATTTGTGAAGCGAGGGGCACATCTTGAAGCCTTAATGTGGCTATTTCTACCTGAAAGCCTGGGCTTTTGATGCCTGTAAGTTTCCCTACTTGGGCTTTCACACAAGGTGATTGCCCCCCACATCCCACACATACTTGGAAGATTCTAAGGTTTGGGTTTGTTGGTCCCTCAAATTCAAAACAATTGCAATCATCTCTCACTTTATCATCTTTAGAAGGATTTTTAAATTTTTTTGGCTAGCTCAGGCTGCCTTAAGGATGGGTCTGGTGCTGCTTGTGGAACTGCGGATCGAACCGTGGTTCCCTGCACCTGACTGGGTTTGCCCAAGCAGGCGCTTTAAACAACTGAGCTAACCGGCAAGTCCCCAAATTTTCAAACGTCATATTTATTCAATTCTACCTGTGCTCCTACTCAACCCTGAGCCCCATATTTCCTCTACATTTCCCATTAGGGCCCAACATTACTGCCTCCTGTCCAACTCAGGCATTTGGTGGACACAGCCTGATCCTGTAGTTCCTTTTTTTATTTTAAATTTTAATTTAGCAAGGGTCTACAGGGCCTCACTATGTAGATCGGACTCATAGTGATTCTCCTGTTTTCAGTCTCCCGAGTGCTGGGATTACAGGCCTGCGCCACCACACCCAGTCTCAATCACCATCTCAGTGTGCTCCGGGGGAAGGCCGGCAAGGCATACCAGAGATCAAACCCCAGCCTTTGCGCTCTGCCTAAGCAGGCACTTTAGTCTGCTGAGCTATCTGGGAAGCCCCTGATCCTCTAGTTTCTAAGGAAACCTGGCAACGAGTAGGTTCTGCACAGGCCCTGGCTATGAACTATGATGCCTATGGAACTGCCCAGGCAGCACAATCTGTACACCCTGTCCCTGACAAGTTGGTTCCCTTCCTAATGTACTGGTTTTCAATAGCAAACTTAACCTATGAGAAAAAGAGACAGGACAGAAGAGAAGTGTGGTAGGAGGTGGCACCTCAGGGAGCGTCTCCTCAGAGTCCCTTCCAGATTTTCCTTGGCGTCCAGGGTGCTGAGGGTATGAGAATGTCTGGTATTCTGTATGTGGGGAGAGAGCCGGGCATCGAGCCGCAGTTGATCCAGGTGCTGGGAGACCGGGTCATGTTCTATCAACAGCTGAAGTGTATGGCTCGTCTGGTTAATTGCATCCTCTACCTGCAGCCAAGAGCAATGTAAGGGTGGCTCCTACAGACTGCCCCATCCCAGCACACGCACTGCCAACCCAGATGATCCAAACACAGTGTGGCCAATGTTCAAATTGGCTAATGGTGGCCTCCAGTTGCCAGCAGCCTCACAGTTCTCTCTGTCTGGGATTCTGTAAGCTTTCTCATCTGTCAGGTCATCATTGCTATCCTGGGAATTTACTAGGCTGACCCAAGAGGTCACCAGTGGTCAGAGATTCAGTGTCAAAACAAGACTGGCTGGAGTGGGTAGGAAAAGGTAAAGGCCACAGCCTGATCTCCCAGAGGGTCTGTTCCATATCTCATCCCCATAAGACAGACTGGACAAACACTGTACCTCCTCCACTCGGAGTGTGCGGACAGGGGTCCCATTGATCTCCAGAATGCGGTCCCCAGGGTGGATGGCGTTGCGATTGTTAGGACTGATGTGCATCCGGTTGACTCTAAGCCAGAGAAGAGTTGAAGCATGGTGAAGGCATCCTAAAATATCACCTCACCGATTCTGCTTATACAGGAAGGTTCACAAGGCCCCTGAACTCCCACTGGCCCGTAAGACTAGGCCATCTACACAGAAAGTCAATACCTTTCCCAGGATTCTTGGATTCAGTGAAGGGACTCATTATGCCTAAGCGAAAAACTTGAACATCCTCTTTTTCATCTGGAGTTCACTTCCTCCCACCCCCAACTTGCTTGCTTTCTGTCAGTTTAATTACCAATCTCTCTCACATGGATCATTTTAAAGCCTCTGAACTGGTCTCCACAACTCTAGGCTTTTACCTTCTACTATCTAACCTTTATCCCAGAGATCTTTCTAAAATAGCAATCTGGTCATTTCACTTTGCTGCATAAATCCCTTGACAAATCTGTTGAATCTTTGTAATTCAGGTCCCGCGTGCTTAACAGCCCCTTATCTGGGTACTTTCAATCTATATTAGACAACCACAGATTTCTACCTCTAGAGACATGCTTCTCCTTCTGCCCTGAACATAAGTTCCTTCGCCTCTCCACCTAATGAGCCTATAGAGCAGACTTCACCTCTTCCTGATTTCCTCAACCCTACTACCCCCCTCATCTGTACTATAAGTTTCAGCCTCATGTCCAACACACAGTAGGTGTAAAATCAGTATTTACAGGCTAATGGGCTACTAGTGTCTCATGGGTACTACTACATGGACACAAACTCTTTCCTCACTTGGTCCCATGGACCTATGATGGTATCTTACCCTCTTTTGGACCAGAGACTCCATTTTTTCCTCTTTCTTCCAATTTATTTACTCATCCAACAAAACAATAATCAATGAACACCTAATAATTCCAGGTCCTGGGCATGCAACACTAAACAAGACAAAACAAGTTCCTTCAGGAGTTTACATTCTAGTGGGGAGGACAGATGATAATCAAACTAATACACATTAATCAAGCCAGAGAATTTCAAAGAGGAAACATGATCTGAAACCTGACACCTAAAAGGTAAGAGAGAGCCAGGGAGATGGCTCAGTGGAATAAGCGCTTCCCTGGCAAGCGCAAGGGCCTGAGTTCAATCCCTAGTTCTGCAAAAAAAAAAAAAAAAAGAACAATTTTGGCGGCTGGGGAGATAGCTCAGTAGAATAAGCGCTTGCCTGGCAAGTGCAAGGCCCTGAGTTCGATCCCCAGTTCCACCATAAAAAAATAAATAAATAAATAAATAAATAAATAAATAAATGGTAAGAGATTCTGGCTTTAAGTATCTGGTGGGAATCAGCCTAGGCAGAGAGACTGCCAAGTGCCTAGGCCTGGTTACAGAAGTGACCTCCAGGAGAAATCTGGGTGATGTGGACCATGGGAACTCTGTGTAGGTCTGTAGACTGAAGCCCTTTTCCACCTGTGGTCTTGGTCAAGAACCACAGATGAGTGGTTCTAAGCAGTTCTCAAAATACTTACTCTTTCACTTGCACAGTGGTGGCGTAGTTGGAGCAGGCACTCTCCACAGACACAGAGAAGCCCCGTCTGCCCTCAGTGGTGGCCGGCATGGAGATGAGTGTGACGGAGTAAGGCAGCTGATCTTGAACAGACTCCGTGGACAGCCTCTCAAACATGGGGGCCAGCACCACCTCATTGTGGCACTTCCCACTAGGTAGAGGGCACAAAGGGAACTGAGATCCTTCAGTCCCACCTGGAAGTTCCCCAGCAAGGACTCCAGCACATGGCTTTAAGAAACATACCCACAGCCTCACTATCATCACCCTCTTTTCCACAATTCTCAATGGCTGCTCACAATGAGGATTCTGGGTTCTCTGGGGGATCTATGACTGAGGTGGTATATGAGGAGGAACTCTGCTGTGGAAGTGAGACAACCCATATTCTCTGGTTCTGACCTCCAGTGAGAACTTGCCCTAGCCCCTGTCCCCTCCTAGGTCCTAGCTGAGTTTTCTGTCAGTCAAAGCAGTTGGGTGAGGTGAGCTCTAAAGGGTCTCTGCCTTTAATAATCTGGGATCTTCCTTGATGACAACATCCCAGGCATTCTCTCTCTCTGGGACAATTTCAAAATATAATGAGGTTATCCTCATGGTAGGTAAGGATAGAGGACAGAAAGATGACAATGGCTCTTCTTATGTCTTACAGAACTGCTTTAGAATATTACTGTGATAAGAATCCAGTGCTCTGATTACCCCACTAGTCTTTCCACTCAAACCATGCTGCCACCTGTCCCTTTCTCCTGGCCACTGAGTGGGGGAGGACAGACAGGGCTACCTCTTACCAGTAGAGTGTGGCATGCTGCACCAGGGCATATGCATCCCCATCCTCAATGATCACCTTGCAGCTCATACAGGCAAAGCACTCTGGGTGGTACTTGAATTCTCCAGCCACCTGTGAACAGGTGGGCAGAAGGATACAGAAGGATGAAATGAGTTATCACTTTTGCTGGAGTGGAGGTGGGGGAGCTGAGTAACTTCCAATCAAAGATCTATAGGCCTCAGTCAAAATATACTTTTTTTTTTGTACTGGGGATCAAACTCCTAACCTTGTGCTTGTGAGGCAGGTGCTTATTCTGCTGAGCTATCTCCACAGCAAAAAAATCTACTTTTTTCAATCAGTTTCTATACATTCTAGTCAGATTCTAGCCTTTCACTCTGCCTAGAAGTCACAAAGGAAGCATCAGGTTGACAATGAAAAAAAAAAAAAAACTTTTGGCTCCAGTTATGACAACTTGTTTCCAGAAATAACCATATCTAATAGATTCAGTTCTTCCAAAGCATAGTTGGCAGGTCTATAACTATGGCTTAGAGCCCTTTGTGTAGAACAGGTACAGGAGAAACAACCTCTCTCTGCCAGCCCATTCCAGGTTCTCCTGGTCTGATTTCCAGAACACAACCCAGGTGGATCCTGCTTGCAATCTGTAACACTCTCCTTTGAGGCCTTTGTCCCACTGCATTCTCTTCCTGCTTGCTACCCACCTCCCAACACCGGACTTCAAAAGTCTGTAAGTCAAGGATATCATCTGTCACTTGCTAAGTACTCAATAAATACCTGTTGGTTAAATGAATGAATAAACATAGGGGGAGGCCCTGGCTGATGGGAAGACACAGGGGACTAGAACTATTGTCAACAGACATCACCAAGAAAGCAGAGATACAGGTACCCACTTACCATGACAGGCCCTGTCATCAGCAGGGAGCATCCATGGCAGGACTCTCCAAATTTCCCCCAGTAGTCCTTGTGGCAGTAGAGCTTCCCATCCTTCTCATAGTACCAGTTGGTAAGGGAATCCTGGCATTCTGAACACCTGCAAGGCAAGACAAGAACAAAATTGCTCCTGAATCCCTGAAACCAGGTCACCCAGGCTACTAGGTCATACAACAAAATGGACAGTGTTCTCTAATGCAAAGCCAGGACAAAGGAAAGTTACAGTTAGGGTCATCTCTGAGGAAGCTGGTTCAGCTCCAGAAGCCAGCTCTGTACAGGATGTTTCTGTGAAAAGATGCAGTCTTGGAGCCCTCTGAGAATCTGATAAGAAGCCAGAAGCCTCATCCATAAAAATGTACATATAAGGAAAATGTGCACACAATCTTCATGTGGGGTGTGTAGCAAGCAAGGATTCCCTGTAACCTAAATAGCCCCAGTTAAGAACCTTTGATCTAAGCCTCTTTAGTAAGTGGTGCTGGGAAAACTGGATATTCACACGCAGAAGATTGAGTCTAGACCCATGTATTTCACCATACACTACACCAAAAAAATGGAACAAAAATCGCTGGGGCCAGGGATATAGCTCAGTGGCATAAGCATCTGTCTAGCAAGTGCAAGGTCCTAAATTCAATTCCTGGCACAAAAACAAACTAACACCCAAAAACAATCTGCTGGAAGATAAAAATAGGCAAAACTTGCAGACATAGGTGTAGGCAAGGACTCTCTAAACAGAACTCCAATGACACAAGAAATACTGAGTTTGGGGGCTTGCCAGTTAGCTCAGTTGCTTAAGCACCTGCATAGGGAAACCCAGTCAGGTGTGGATGACCGTGGTTCGATCCCCAGCTCCACATGTCACACCAGACCCACCTTTAAGGCAGCCTGAGCCTGCCAAAAAAAAAAAAAAAGAAAAAAATCGGGATCAGGGAGATGGCTCAGCAGAATAAGCACTTGCCTGGCAAGTGCAAGGGCCTGAGTTCAATCCCTGGTTCCGCAAAACAAAACAAAACAAAACAAAACAAAACAAACCTCAGCTTTTAAAAAATTAAAAAACAAAACAAAACTGGAGTTAAAGGCTACATAGTCCAGTGATATATGTATAACCATATTTATAGCAGCACAATTTATAATAGCTAAATCTAATGTGGTATTTATAAACAGTACTACTCTGCCATAAAGAAAGATAAACTTCAAGTATCTGTAGGTAAATGGATGCACCTCAAGACCATAATTTTATTTTCTGTATTTAGGACAGGGTCTATAGGGTCTATGGGGTCTCACTACATAGATTGGATTCGTAGTGATTCTCCTGTTTTCAGCCTCCCAAGTGCTGCGATTACAGGCACATTGCACAACATCCAGTCTCAAGTGCTTTCTCAGCGCAATGCTCGGGCCAGACAAGCATGGCACACTGGGGATCAAACCCTAGCCACTGCACTCTGCCTAAGCAGGCGCTTTCATATGCTGAGCTATCAGGTCAGCAAGACCATAATTTTTTCTTTTTCTTTCTCTTTTTTTCTTTTTGGACATAGGGTCTTGTTTTGTGGTTCAGGCTGGCCTTGAGCTCATGGCAATCCTCCT